AACCAATTACTAAAGGAAAAGAGAAAACATAAATAAATCCCCAAACCCCACACCAGAGCTGCTGCTTCTGCTAAGTCACTTCAGTTGTGTCTGACCCTGTTCGAACCCATAGACGGCAGTCCACCAGGCTTCCCCATCCCTGGGATTCTCCAGGCAAGAACACGAGTGGGTTGCCATTTCCTTCTCCAATGTATGAAAGTGAAAAGTGCAAGTGAAGTCGCTCAGTCTTGTCTGAATCTTAGCGACCCCATGGACTGCAGCCCACCAGGCTCCTCTGTCCGTGGGATTTTCCAGGCAAGAGTGTGGGAGTGGCGTGCCATTGCCTTCTCCACCACACCAGAGGGTACTAGGTAAATTCTAGTATACATTATAGAAACTGATAATTCCTCTTTATAAATATATGCATATATTTATGTATCTATTTTTAAACTCTTATTATAAAGTAATAGATATTCACAGAAATGTTTTTAAAATAGAGACTTTTAAATATAACTCCTATGCTATTGAAAGAGTTTATGCTCATTCTTTATGTTGTTATTCTGTCATCCCACCATCCAACAAAGAAAATCAAATACGTCAAACTTTATAAGAATGTGACTTGTAAATATAGATACAAAAGTCACTATGAAATATTTTATTTAAAAATCCAACAGTGTATGAATGAAAATAAATAAGGTTATTCCCAGAAAGCAAGGATGTTCAAAACCAGGATATCTGTAGTTCATCACATTAACTGAACACAGTAGAATTGCTATGTGATAAACTTGATAGACATCGAACAAGTAGTTGATAAAATTTAATGCTTATTTTTGATTTTAAAAAAGCAAAATTGAGTTTTTAGCGCTCTATGACTTGAAGGATACTTTTTAAAATTATTATCAGAATATTTAAAAAAAATAACAGCAATATCTTATTAGTGAAGTATGAGAAACATTCCCATTAAGGTTAGGAACTGAAAAGGAAAATATCTGTTATCCATAGATACAATTCAACATTTCAGTAAGTTCTCAACCTTTGAAATAATTCAAGAAACATAAGAATAAGTATCAGAAATATTGGGGCCAAACTGTCATTATTTGCAAAAGCAAATTAGAAACTCTCAAACAAACCTCTTAAAAATTAGAACTCAGAATTTTGAAAGGACACTGAAGACAAAGGAAACTCACAAAAATTAATAATTTCCCCAAGTTCCAGTAATATTTAAATAGGTTTGAATGCATTCAGCTTCATTTAGACTATGCTGAATTACTTGAGGTTTAACCTTTGTTTCCAAAAGAGTCAGACATGACTTAGCAACTAAACAACCACTAGAACTGAAAAGGGTAATGTGGAAGAAGGTGGTTGACTGGTATGTTCAGTGACCCCATAACATCTCGAAGAGCCTAGGCAGTTTGCATCTTTCTGCCCATCATCTCAAGTTGTTGCCTTTCTTTCTTCGTATTTGTGGCCTCATGGTCACATTATGGCTATCCCAGTCAGGTGTCATGCCTGTTCATTGGCAGTGAGAGTAGGAAGACAGGAGGGCAGGGGCAAAGGGATTTTACTTAGGTCAAGGAGGAATAAGTATCATAATTTGCATAATCCTATATAATATGGCCAGCTTTGGTAGCAAGTGTGCCGGGAAATGTGAGCAAGTAGCCAAAGTCACAATCATTTGGATTGCCATGACTGGCTTAGACCAAAGATGGATGATTCATCCTCTGGGAATGGGCGCATTGCTGACCTCAAATAAAATTAGATTTTGTTAGCAACGGACAAGTAATCAGAGAACTACTTGGTAGATGACTCCCACAGTATGTCACTATACCAAGTAGAGAATATGACAAGAATAGACGATCCCAATCACTTATATGAAAATCTTAACAGGGGACAGACTGGGAGTTTAGGATTAGCAAATAAAAACTATTGTATATAGAATGGATAAACAACAAGGTCCTACTGTATAGCACAGGGGAAAATATTCAATATCCTGTGATAAACCATAATAAAAAAGAGTATGAGAAAAGGACATATATATATATATATGTATAACTGACTCACTTTGCTGCATAGTAGAAATTAACACAACATCATAAAGCAACAGTACTTCAATAAAGTTTTAAAACTCATAACATTTCTAGAATAAATAAGCAATGAAATATGTAAAACCTATGTGATGATATAAAGAAATTTTACTGAAATACTTTATTAGACTTGGAAAAAATGGAGACACATCTCATTCTCTTATGAAAATCCTCAATATGGTAAAATTTTATTCTCTATATAACAATATACAAATTAGTAGTGGTCCAAATCAAAATGGCCTTTTCTTTTTTAACTGGATAACTGATTCTACAGTTTATTTATAAGAGGAAATTTTTTAAAAATAAGAATTGTATGAAGCCTAACTCCTCATCATATATCAAAACAATTATACAGATACAGTGACAAATACAGTGTGGTCCTGGCACAAGAATAGAATATAAATAGCAGAGTAAGAATGGAGCACAATGAAGAATGCAAACTCAAAACCACCTATGTACACACAAGGATTAGTGTATAATGAATTTAGTATTTCAAATCAGTTGGAAATAATTGATTATTTTAGATTTAATTTTGGAAAAATGTCTCCATTTGGGAAGAAATAATTATATTCCTTTCTCACACCATGTACAAAAATAAATTCCAGATGGATTAAAATTATAAGAACAGAAAAACAAAACTGTAGCATACTGGAGCCATTGAGAAATATTTTTATAATGTTTGGTGTGAAAAGATTTTCTAAAATGACATAGATTGACCAATTAATCTACATAATAAATTTTATAGGTGAAGAAATTTAAAAGCCAGATGATAGACCTGGAGAAGATATTTACCACACATTTAACAAAGGGTAAATATTATTCTTATTCAATAAGAAAAAGACAATCTACAATTTTTAAATGAACATAGGGTATCATCAAGCCTAGGAAGGCCTTCATATGCCCAAGAGGGCAAAATATGTATTAGGAAGAAATTTTATCTATAATAATTATGAAAGTGAAAGTTATAATAATGGTAAAATATGATGATAAAATAATATAAATAAAATAATGTAATAAAATATAATGAAATAATATAAAGTTAATAAAATCATTCATCAGATCATCAATATTTTTTGAAAATTGATACTATTTAGTGTTGATGTGGATATACAAGTTTTAGGTTTGTGGAAATGTAAAGCTGTGTAGTGTTTTGGTGGACAATAGGATGGTGTCTATCAAAATTAAAAATATTCAGGGACTTCCCTGATGGTCTGGTGGTCAGGACTCCACAGGGGTATGATCTTTGGTTAGGGAGCTAGAATTGCGCTTGTTGCATGGCTAATAAGCAAGTCAAAAAATACTTTTAAAAATTTAAAATATTAATTGCTTTCTGACCCAAAAACTATACTTCTAAAAATCCAACTTATAGAAATATTTACATTTGTGCACAAAGTTATTTATTGTAGTATTGTTTCTAATAGAAGAAAATCTGAAGCAACTTAAATACCCAACAATAGTAGAACTATTTCATAAATTATAGCATGTAAACTTATGCTATTAACAAATTTTTATGTTTCCATTACAATTTAGATGGATCTATTTGTATTGACATGGCAAGATCTTCAAGATATATCATGAAATGAAAAAAATTGCCATATATATTTTTAAAGCTACATTTTAATATTATATTATACTATACTTATTATTATATTATAAATTTAATATTAGGTTTATCTTACAAGTTTTATGTTTATATATTATATCATATAAGTATTCAAATGCATACAATAGCACCTAATAGGATGCCTTCACAAATGATTTCTTATAGATAGGAGGATATTAATATTAATGCATACGGTTGGGGAAAATTATCTATAAGGGGGCTTTAATATTGTAGCCTGTATTTCTAATTGCTCCAATTTTTCAAAATAAGCATGTATCATGTTGCCTTTGCAATTAAAAATATTTAAAAAGGAACAGCTGATTATTTGGATGAAACAGACTGCGGTTCAAATCCCATATTTATCTCCTCATAGTTGTGTGACTTGAATATTTTTAAGTTCTCAGAGACTCACCTTCTTTATCTACAAATTAGGTAAAATAATATTCCCTTCATAAGTGCATGAACAGATTAAATGAGACTACATATGAAAAACACCTGGTTCGTCGTGGGTGCTCAACAAGTACGTGTTGGTTTCTTAAATGGCTGAGGTTAGAGTTGGAAAAGTCCGGGATGCTGAGAAAGATTGAAGGCAGGAGGAGAAGGGGATGACAGAGGATAAGATGGTTGGATGAAGATGAACAAGAGAGAGCCTTTTCTATTGAGGAGCTTGAGGTTAGCTTTAATTTAATGCTTTCAGTTTAGTGAGACGAGTGCAATTCTAGAGACATTTGTAAAATGCTAAGGATATAATAAATAGTGGGATTTCCCTGGCAGTTCAGTTGCTAAGACTGCGCTCCCAAAGCAGGGGTCTCAAGATCTATCCTTGTTCAGAGAACTAAGTTCCCATATGCCACAGCTAAGTGTTCACATGCTGCAACTAAAAATCCCACATCCTGAGTGCTGTAACTAAGACCTGGTACAGCCAAATAAATAAATATTAAAAGAAAAAGAATAGTGCTGAGAAATCACAGAACTAGAGAATCTCTGAATTGAGCAAGACCAAGATGTTATTTATTCAACTTCCCATCCAATGCAAGAATCCCTTCCACAACATTCTTGGAAGACTATAAAATAGTTTCTGCCAGCATAATAATTATGATTTATTAAATGTTTACTACTGTTGCTGACACTGCCTGACTTTTCACATAGATTTTCTCAACTTAAGCATCACCACAAAACTGAAAGCTAGTTACCACTATTTATGATTTATGGGCAGAAACCAAGACTCTGAGAGGTTAAGTAATTTGTCTGAGGTCACACAACTAATTCACAGGGCTAAAATTCAAACTCACTTCGGCCTCATCCCAGAGCCTATATTCTTAATTTGAACTCACCTTTCTGACGATATGAAACTCAATATATTGAAAGACTGTTGCTTCACGTCTTGCACAGGTGTTTCCCATAGAGTGCAGGCATCTGTCTTTTTGGAGCATCAGTTCCATACCTCAGTGAGCATCAGAAATCACCTCCGATGTAACTGTTCTTACCACAAATACAACAATGTTGAAGACCTGGCTTCTACTCTCAAATAGTTTATACTCTTGCTTTTTCTCTTTGGAGGAGTGAAGAATTTCACCTGCTTTTCTACCAGAGAGCTCTCCAATAATCTGAAAGAAAAAAAAAAAAAAAATCTATCCTCCACTCTTTTCAAAAAACCCTCCAACTCTGGCTGAAATTTTTGTTGTTTCACATTGGCTATCCTCAGTTCTTTCATCTGGTGCTGTATTTCCAGAGGTCCACAACCTCAGTTTTCTTTTTCCAGATGTGTACCTGATACTGTCCTTAAAAGACAGGGTTTTGAACTAAAACAATGAAGTTAATGCTATAGTAGTACAAGAGAGGTTTAACTGACTTTCATTTAAATGTCAGCTTCAATTAATATTTGCACTAGTGGCTCTAGCTTTTGATTGCAGTCATGTTATTTACTTATATTAAGTCACCATAATACCACTCAGAGCCCCCTCATTTTTTTTTTTCAGTTCCCCAACCAGGAATCCATCCCATATCCCCTGCAATTGAAGCACAGTATCCTAACCACTGGACCACCAGGGAGTCCCCCCTCACTTTTTCTTTTTTTTTTTTTAACAAATATTAGTCTATTTCATATGTCTTGATTTTCTCCTTCACTTTACTTGGGAGACCAAGTTTTTAATTCTTAAATTGAGACTATATTATTATCTTTATTAAATACAATCTTTTAAATTGGCTTAGCATTTCAGACTGCCCAACATTTTATCAGTCTTGATATTATTTTCCATTTTATTAAGTATCTCTCCCAGCTTTACAGAAGCCTCAATCCACAAAGCCCAGTGTTTTTGTGACTCTTCAAAAGACCAAGGCAAAGGAGGAGTTTTGAACTGTGCTAACAGTGACCTCTTCCACATTGGAATAGATTCATTAATCAATCCTCCTTTGTTACTATTGTTGAATCAGAGATGCAGTCACGTAGCTAAGTTAGTATCTGACCTACATAGTAGGAAAAACAGACGGTTATATATGCTCAGGTAGCATACAGACATGCCTGGTATAGGCTCCTACGTCTGGGAAAGGTCCATACTGGTAAGACACATGATTAGTGACATGGTGTTTGTTTAACTGACTTTCATTTAAATGTCAGCTTCAATTAATATTTGCACTAGTGGCTCTAGCTTTTGATTGCAGTCATGTTATTTACTTATATTAAGTCACCATAATACCACTCAGAGCCCCCTCATTTTTTTTTTTCAGTTCCCCAACCAGGAATCCATCCCATATCCCCTGCAATTGAAGCACAGTATCCTAACCACTGGACCACCAGGGAGTCCCCCCTCACTTTTTCTTTTTTTTTAACAAATATTAGTCTATTTGTTAAGACATATTTCATATGTCTTGATTTTCTCCTTCACTTTACTTGGGAGACCAAGTTTTTAATTCTTAAATTGAGACTATATTATTATCTTTATTAAATACAATCTTTTAAATTGGCTTAGCATTTCAGACTGCCCAACATTTTATCAGTCTTGATATTATTTTCCATTTTATTAAGTATCTCTCCCAGCTTTACAGAAGCCTCAATCCACAAAGCCCAGTGTTTTTGTGACTCTTCAAAAGACCAAGGCAAAGGAGGAGTTTTGAACTGTGCTAACAGTGACCTCTTCCACATTGGAATAGATTCATTAATCAATCCTCCTTTGTTACTATTGTTGAATCAGAGATGCAGTCACGTAGCTAAGTTAGTATCTGACCTACATAGTAGGAAAAACAGACGGTTATATATGCTCAGGTAGCATACAGACATGCCTGGTATAGGCTCCTACGTCTGGGAAAGGTCCATACTGGTAAGACACATGATTAGTGACATGGTGTTTAGCAGATAAAGGTAAAACAAGCTTTTGTTTGTTTTTATTTTCAAAACACTTAAGTGAACCATTACATCTGTGGATTCATCTGCAGCCTCTGAATAGGCTGGTGGGACAACGCCAAATCTAGATTAGTTGACAGTAGTTCTAGAAAAGCAAAAGTAATGTCCCCTATGTGGACAGGATGTTTCTCACCATCTGACCTCCTCCAGGACGACCCAGGGAACAGGATATACTGCTGTGCTTCAGTTAATCCCTTACTAATATCATTGCTTGCCACTATGGGGTTTTTTTTTTTTTTTCGGCTGTGCCTTGCGGTTTGTGGGCTCTTAGTTCCCCAACCAAGGATTGAACCCAGGGCCACAGCACTGAGGATTCCAAGCCCTAATCACTGGACTGGCAGGGAATTCTGCCACCATGCTTTTTGTTTGTCTGGAATAGCTGAGCTCTTGAATGAGAACCTGAACTTTAGATGGTCTGTGTTGCCAACTACAGGAATATCTGTGGGGATCAGCTCCCTGTAGAAAGTAAAGAAACATTACTAAGACTTGTATCTAGTACGTATTTAATAAAGACACATTGGTTATCAGGGGGGAAAGAGCTCCTTGAGATAACGGTCATAGTTCCCTGGACAAACATTTCACTTTAGTGACACTCACATAGACATGCGCACCATAAAAACATTAAGAGTCCCTTGCAATGCAAGATCAAACCAATCAACCCTAAAGGAAATCAACCCTGAATAGTCATTGGAAGGACTGATGCTGAAGCTGAAGCTCCAATGATTTGGCCACCTCATGCAAAGAGCCGACTCATTGAAAAAGACCCCGATGCTAGGAAAGATTGAAGGCGAAAGGAGAAGGGGACAGCAGAGAATGAGATGGTTAGATAGCATCACCAACTCGATAGACATGAATTTGAGCAAACTCAGGGAGATGGTGGAGCCCAGGGAAGTCTGGCATACTGCAGTCCATGGGGTTGCAAAGAGTTGAACACAACTGAGTGACTGAACAACAACATTTATTTTAGCTGGATGAAATCTTTTTTGGTACTAGGTGGAATGAAATAATAAATTTTAAAATGAAAAGAAGAAAATAATGCTATTTATAGTATTTATATTTTAGCAATTTTCTGTCATTTTCTACACAGCAGAAACCTGAAGATTTTGCAGATATTTCTAGATACAAAAATGTGAGCAGAATGTTATACCTTCTTATATTAATCAAGCCATATTTTATTACTCAAAAGATGTGTTACATTTTGTTGAAGAATAATTTCCCACTCAGTGTATATTTGTGGGATCTTGGTTCAGTGACAAGGGCTGGAATCTCTGCCCCCTGCAGTGAAAGCATGGAGTCCTAACCACAGGACGACCAGAGAATTCCCTTGAGTGGCTCTTTTAAAACATTGTCCGATCTAGTGACTGATAAGCTAAGGAATCCCAGCTCATATAAAATAAAATCCAAAGTACATTGGATTATCTTGAACTCTAGGGTCTGACCCGACCTTGTCTCCACTACCTTTTCAGCTGTATTTTTATTACCCTCTTTCTTGCTCAGGCTGCTTCAACCACATTGGCCTACTTTCTCTTACTTGATTCTTGGTACTTGCTATTGCCTCTCCCTGGAATTTTCTGCAATCATGTATCCTCAGGGACACTCTCTTCACTACAACCTCTACTGAAATGTCCCCTTATTGAGATGTTTTCCGTCACCTCATGATCACATCTACGTCACACACAAATATACGCCTGCAATCACACACACACACACACACACACACACACACACACACACTGTCCATTTCCATTAGTGCCATCTGACCTATTACACATTTCTTTATTTGTACGTTACCCTCCTCTCCCAACTAGAACATGAGTTCTTTGAGATCAGGGATTCTGATTGGCTCCCTGTTGAATCCCCAGCACCCACCACAGTTTTGGGGGCACAAACTAGGCACCCAAACCATGCACTGTGAATGATTTAACAGGCCAGCTAGAAATCAGGGAATTTCGTCTACAAGATCTCCTGTCTCCCTGTCAGTCAAATACTACACGATCTTAGCTGACGATGAAGTATAAAATATGTGCTATAACTTATTTAATCAATCAAAAGACTTGGTTTTCATTCTCATTATTAATCTCTAAAAGTTGCCTGTTACATTTTTCCATTCATTGGGGAATGTAGAATGTTTAAATGAAGTTGATTTTATAAGTTTATATACGTATCTTTTTAAAAAAATATTTATTTATTTGGCTTTTCTCAGTCTTAGTTTTGGTTTATGGGATCTAGTTCACTGACCAGGGATTAAACCTGGGCCCCATGCGTTGGGAACTTGGATTCTTAGCCACTGGACCACCAGGGAAGTCCCAGTATATACCTATCTAAAAGGACTTTAGGCCAACATAGTGGGGTTTTTTCCTTCCCACTTTTATTATATTTTCTATAAGCATCCCAATTTCCCCCAGGTGTATTGTATTTCCAATAAGATTTGGATTTCAAAGCAAAAAGGACTAAGAATTCCCCTTCCAATAGTGAACTGGCCCTCTTCCTAAACACTTTCACTCACCCATATGCTATGTTTAGAAAATCAAGAGAAAAAGAAGAAAGGACAATAATACCAAATTTTGCACTTATACAATTATTCCAAGACATGGAATCTTCTTTTCTATCTAAATTGATATGGTTCATTGCCTTGTATTTTCACCACCTATTTTAACTAATAATTGCATCATTTCTGAGAAACTGTTTAGAAAATTACAGAACATCTATCTAAAGATTATAGACATGTAGTTGTCGTCTTTTAATTCTTTGCCTAAAGCTGAAATCCAGTTGTTGTTTTTTGCATATTTATCAAATCAGTGAACTCTGATATTTCTTTGCAATCTGCCAGGATTAAGACTGGATTTCAGGGAATTCCCTAGCAGTCCAGTTTTAGGGGACACGGGTTTGTGCAGGGGACACGGGTTTGATCCCTGGTCAGGGAACTAAGATCCTGCATGTTTTGAGGCCAAAAAAAAGGGGTAGGGGGACTGGATTTGAGCCTTCTACAAACCCTAGTCAATCTTAAGTACAACTGGTGACTGGTAAATCCTACTTTTTAGGTTCTTCCCTTCCTCAGTGTGATTTTGACCTAGCCATTTCTCTTGTAAATCTTCCTCATCCCTTTTTTGTTAGTTCAGAAATGCTTTAAAATTATTTGCCAAACTAGACTGAAAACTTCATCTTTTTTTTTTTTTTTTGGCCATGCTTTGGGGCATGAAGGATCTTAGTTCCCCACCCAGGGGTTGAACCCATGCCCCTGTAGTGGAAGCGTGGAATCCTAACCACTGGACCACCAGGGAAATTCATCCTTATATTTTCTAAATATTTCTCTCTCTGTTGACCATTTAAAATGCAGATAGGTGAAGGACAGGTAAGCCTGGCATGCTGCAGTCCATGGGGTCACAGAGAGTTGGACCCTACTGAGCAACTGAACAAAAACAACGCAAATTAAATATTTGTTAAAAATGATGAAACACTGAATAATGATAATGCATGTGCTGGATCTCTCGTGGAAATGGTGGTTTGCTTTGTTTTGTGTGTGTGTGTGTGTGTGTGTGTGTTTTGAGGATCTTAAGTGATTCCTATTCCTAGTGTAATTTTGATGTAAAAAGTCACTTTTGGAGCCTTCTTGGTAGGTTTAAGTGGTCTTTGTGTGTGGACTATCAGCAGGGGAAAGGGTGAGAGAATAATAACAATGACAAAAAGGAAGATTAGATTCCTTCATTGATTTGTAAATACCTATTGAGTGGTTGTTCTGGGCTCTGCACTGTGCCAGACAATGCGAATACAATGGTAAGCAAATCCAGACAAGGTCACTGACTTTCTGGAACTTACAGATTCTAGTGAGTAGACTAGGAGAGGCTGGGCCAGTACAAGGAAAAGTGATTTTTACTGGGCCAGTAAAAATGAAAATTGTTAAACGAGGACAGAACTGCCACAGCTGTTCAGGTTGGGCCTCACCTGGAAGCTGCAGACCAATGAGTGGGTGATGCCTGAGCATCAGCCAGAGCTCTCTCTGCTATTTCCAGCTGTCATCTGGAAGAGGGACAAATTTCTGAATTCCCACAAAGGTGGGACAGCAGGGGCCCTGACAGAAAGGTTAGGAGAGCCTGAAATATTTGGAGCTGTCATGGAAGGTTTCTTTGAGGAGAAAACAACAGCGAAGTGAGATTTGAAATGAAAGATTAAAAAAAATGTAAGGAGGAGGGAGATGATGGTGGGTGGGGAGGACAGTGAGAAGTCCATTCACTGCTCTGGGAGCAGCTTCTGGAAACAGCATGTGCCTCGTGAGCTGGAGAAGCTGAAAAGGGTGCCAGACTGGAGCTAGTGATGGGCAAACTCACAGAGGTGTTGAGCGACCAACCTTGTACACTTGAACATGGAGGCTGTATTAAGGACTGAGTATTTAAGAGTGCTGAGTCTGGTGCTGCCCATGGAGGGGCAAGGGAAGCGGGACAATTAGAAGGCTACTGAAGTGATGGACAAGAGATAAAATAGCACAATCTGGGATCATAGCAATATCTATAGAAACTTTGAACAAAGACACATTAAAAGGGTGACGAACTTCTTATTGGAAATGTACAAGGAAAGACTGTATATGGTGTGAAGAAATAGAATTCAGAACCAAAGAGCATGATTTGAGGCCTGAGTAAACAGAGCAACACTATTATAACTTGCTTTGTTTTTGATAATGAAGGCTGTTAGTTCTATGGTCATGCCACTCAAGACGACTGTTCTTGGGGACTTCCGTGGTGGTCCAGTGGCTAAGAATCTGCCTTGCAATGCAGGGGATGCAGGTTTGATCCTTCGTTGGGGAACCAAGATCCCACCTGCCACAGAGCAACTAAGCCAGAGCACCGCTACGACTGAACGCGAGTGACTGCTCCAGAGCCCCAGAGCTCTGCGCCGCAAGGAAAGAGCTCCCCAGTGGCAGCTAAGATCCAACACAGCCAAATAAATAAATATTTAAAACCAACAACAACAAAAAAAGAATGACTGTTCTCTTGCTGTCTGGGCATCCCCTGCCAGACCAGTGTCCGCTCCACCTACATCCTACTCACTTCACAGACCTGTTAATGATTGTCCTTCTCGAGTGGGGCTGTGAGGGGCATGCCCCTCAGCTGGTTTCCCTGGTAACTGAGTCCACCTAATATTAATTACCCTACAGCTGGCCACCCCTCCCCCCACACCCCCCAGGGAAGACTAGCCGGCGCCATATTCTGCCCTGCCTGCCGCTGACCCTGGAGTGTCGCTCTAGGATATTGCTTCAGACCTGTAAGCACCCCCAAACCCCTGATGTCTGTTTTGCTGCCTCTGAGCTCTTTCTTTGGTTCTAAAACTGGGCAAGAACAGGCCTTGTAGGCTTTCGGGGTGCAGCCCAATGACAGTTAAGATGCATAATATTACTTTTTAGCTGTATGAGGATTTCAGCCGTGCCCCTAACTTTGTTCCCTAAAAGTCTTGCCATCAGACTTATTACTTGACCTTTACCTTGTTTGGTTAAATGTGAAATCCTGTATGAAACCTCCAATGCAACGTAGCTGTTTTAACAGAAAATTAATAATCTAATTTACTTTAGCAATCTAATCCTGTTGAATAATTAGTTTTTTTCAAAACTCTGGTTATTCTCTTAGGATAAAGTACTGGAGAGAGAATTTCTGAGGGTTTCGATACAGTGCTAATTTCTCCGGAAAATTTTCAGTTCTCACTAGCAGTGTAGGAATGTTTGTTTCTCTGTACTTGCACCAACATTGGATGTTTTTATTAAGCAATTAAGCTTTGCCAATCTTATAGATAAAAGAAATCTTAGTTTTTAAAATATTTGCCTATCATGACATGTACATTTTTTTCAAAATTAGTATCTGTTTGTATTACTTTATGAAGTTTTCTTACTGATTTTCAAGGATTCTTTACATTGTAAATCTCCTTTAAACTTTCTTTTTTAAGTTAAAATTTAAAAACAATTTATTTGGTTGGCTGCACCTGGTCTTAGTTTGCATCAGGAGAGGTCTTTGTTGCTGTGTGTGGGATCTTTAGCTGCAGCATGGGAACTCTTAGAGCTGAGTCATGTGAGATCTAGTTTCCTGACAAGAGGTCGAACCCAGGCCCCTGCACTGGGAGTGTGGGGTTTTAGCCATTGGACCGCCAGCCATGTACCACCTTTAATCTTTTCAATAGCACTTAAACATTGTCCTTTCAGCATGTAGAATTGTTTTGCTCACATTTAGTGAGAAACTTGTTTTCAAATTTTAGAAAATGGTTATTAATGATAATTAGTGGGGCTACCCAGGCAGCTCAGTGGTAAAGAATCCGCTTGCCAATGCAGGAAACGCAGGAGACTCAGGTTCCATCCCTAGGTCAAGAAGATCCCCTGGAGGAGGAAATGATAACCTACTCCAGTACTGTTGCCTGGAAAATTTCATGGACAGGGGAGCTTGGCGGATTGCTGTCCAGGGGGTCTCAGAGTCAGACAAGACTGAATGAGCATGTAATGATAACTAAAATCAAGCTACCTTTTTGCAACTTTCAGCATGAGCAAAACTTGCAGACTTTGGTTATTTATTTAGTCTCTATTTATTCTGTTTTTTTTGCAGCACAGTTGAAGGTATAGATTTTGAATTAGAATTTTATAAGTATTTGGTCATTATATTTGTTACAGTGACCGAGAAGCCAAATGGTACACTACTAAATATTTAACAACTGGGTCTTTCTGTAGAATTTACTGCTTACTGTGATGTAAATACTCCCATCAAGATTGATTTCAGGTTACAAACATAAAGTTACATAATGGGCTCTCAAAAACTGTTTTTGAAGTAATTTAGAATTTGTAAATACCATACGAATCGTCAGAGTGGTTAAATTCTGTTGTACATAATTTTAATATTAGGTATATTTCAACATTTTTGAATATCGATATATGGAGAATATTTGATTAATCAAAAAAACCCATTCACAAATTAGTCCACCAAATTAAATTTACTTGTCATTTCTCCATTTAAACCAACATATCATGGGAAATTCTGGGAGTCTTTGAATTAACTAAGAAGTAATCAAATATTTTAGTTCAAAGTTATTTCCTAACATATCAAGCAAGATAGGGGGGAGGGTGAAGTTATCAGAATTTGGAGTAAATCATCTAGAAAAGAAGAAGTTAAGGATTGTATGAATAGTTGTCTTCAAATGCCTGAATGATGATGGCTGAAATAAAACTGCCACACACACACACACACACACACACACCCACCCACCCCTCTAGAGGTTAAGGGTTGTATGAATAGTTGTCTTCAAATGCCTGAATGATGATGGTTAAAATAAAACTGCCACACACACACACACCTCTGTACATGTGCACACATGTCCTTTCTCTCTCTCTTCCCTATTTCCATTGAGTTAAGAACAAGAGAATTTAAACTCCCAAAGAAGAAGGATTTAGCTTCAGGAAAGAAGACTTACCTCGTTGCAAAGATTATCAAGAATGACCTAGTTTTGTATTCTCTTTTTCTATATATCTATTGAAATAATGTTTTTTTTTGTCTCTCAAATCATTTTAGAAAAGCTCTAATGAGTTTTCTACACTGATTATACTAGTTTTGTTTTTTTCAGTAAGATAAAGGGAAAATATTAAGCAGAAGCAACTTAGACTCTTGAGCAACATGGAGCTCAAGACATCCAGAAGTTTCCAGTGATTCTGAGCCATGATCACCCTTGTAAGGGGGAGAACTCTGATTCAGGGAAGAAAGCCTCCAGATTGGGGGGTGGGGCAGATAGTAACTGGAAAATTCACTCGGTTGCTTTAAAAGATCAGCTTTACTCTGGCTCAAGATTCACATTTCCCACTTGTGTCTTGTCTTCAAAAATAAAAAAGAGGAAACCACCAATGAGAACATGTGGTGTTATAAATCATCCTGGCTGTTGTTAGAAAAATGAGTAAGGGTTCTCAACAGTTTCAAAAGGTCCTGGCTAGCCCTTTTCACTCACCTTGAGAAGAACCATAAAAGTAAGGAAACAAAAGTAATTCTTTTTCTTTCCATACACCAGTCACCAGCAGTGTTCTCTTTGGGCTCCTGGCATCTGGGTCCAGTTGCCGGGTTACAGGCAAATAGAATCAAAACAAACACTAAAAGGTACTCTTTTGGCTCTTCGTATGTTGGAAAGGTCTTCTGCCTTCCATCCTCGAGGCTGGCCAGTTCTCAATGCAAAAGTGACTTTCCTCTGTGCTGTTTGTCCTTTCCTTTTCTTCCTGTGGGACAATTCCTGATTATAAACTTATTGTGGACTAGAAGTCCTTAATTAGGAGGCCATTAGACCCTTAGACCTTTTCTCCAACTTCCTGTTCAATAGCCCCAGGAATTCCAGTCCCTGCCACCGTTCCCTGCCCTCTGAGAGCCAGTAGGCTGGAGAGATTCTTCCAATGGTAGCGTTAACCCTTTGCTCCCCAATTGGCTAGTTACCAAGGATAGATTTTCAAGGAAACAAATGGTATTTTCCACTTAGGACTACAGTGCCAGATCCAGTGATGGGCTTCCTGCTTCTCAGCACTTGTGATGTGTTATACTATATTTGAACTTGGACAGGAAAGCTACAGTCATGTTTAGAAGTTTGGGAAATGAGATCTATGGCAAAAGTCAACCTGTTAGCCAGTTTGTCCCGAGTGATTTTATTAAGGTTCATGGGGTGCCACACACTTGAATAGAATCAGGGCATTCCAGCAAGCACTGCAGAGGTTAAAGACACTCAGATGACTCATCCTGGAGAAGAGTGAGAGGAAGCTATTATAAATCCTCCAATATTTAAAGAGATATTCTTGAGAAGGTGGCAACCAATTGTACATGAAGTCTGCTAAGGCTTGAGCCTTATGAAATACATTTGAGACATAGACATTTTGTTCATTTTCAAGGAAAATTTTCCCAATAGTGTAAATTGATAAATATCTTAATGGGTTCCCTAGGAAGGAAATAATAGCCATGTTTCCCTTCTGAAAACCTAGACCCGAAAGGCTTATCTGTCTGAAATGGTTTCGTTTTGTATACCTGATGATGAATGTGAATGTGTTTATCTTAACACAAGAGCTGGACTGACTTCTGTTAGAGGAAACTTCTAACCCTGTCTGATCTTTCAAAAGCAAATATTCACTATGTTTCTGGAAAGGTCAGAAGTAAGTGGTTTTATCCTGGTGTTTTGCAAAATCAGCCAAAGAAGACAAGGTGTCTTTTTCATGCTTACCCAAAGTATGAGTGTTAGAACCAAACATATATTCACAAGTATTGGTTGTGTTTTGTTAAAAGATTGAAACTTCTAGCAAGAATTTTGTTGTAGTGACCTAAAAATTACTACTTTTTTTTTTTTAAAGCTGGTGTATACGGTTGTTTTTTTCTTCATTCTTTTTCATCATCATAGTGACTGTTCCTTGAACTTCTGGTATGTCAGGCATTGGACTCAGGGCTTTATATACATTTATATCACTTTTAATCCTTACATCATATGTAAGGTGGGTACTGTTATTTTTATTTGCCAGATGATGAAACTGAGGCCCAGATAAATTCTGCTACAACTTGTCCAACTGCAGTCAGCAAACTAGTAGGTGGTAGAACCAGAATTAAAATCCTAGCTTCCCTGAATCCAAAGTTCTTCTTTCTCCGCAGCACTGGTTACCAGGAAAGTCTGACTCAGCTGTTTTTACATCAAAAGGATTAAGCAAATAGTTAGTAGAAACATCATTCATACATATTAACCTTTCTGAAATGGCTAAAACATATATGGCTTAGATCAATTAGCATGCTTCCAAAATGGTTGAAAACTTTTTTCTACGTAAGAAAATACAAGAGTATTCAAAGCAAAAAAAAAAAAAATTAATTTCCTTTCTAGTCTGTTTCTGAAATGATTTGTCTGAGTGATTATAAAGCTGTAAGGTGGATTTCATTGGGTCTGAATTTCATAACATAACTAGCATCAAATTATGAAGATGTTTTCTAATGGCCTAGATTTTATGTCCAACAATTTTATCTTTCAATCTGAGTAAGGCATGTCTTTTAATCCTGACTTCTGGAATATTCCAAATTCCTTTTAGAGATGACTTTTGCACTTGGACCTCTTCAGCTGGTACTCCCCCCTCTCTTCTCATGGTCAAATTTACATACTCCCTGTTTAATAAGAGGGGACTGCAGGGTAGAACAGGCAGTGGTAAAAAGTGCCAGAACTAAATGTGATTTCAGGCAAGCCTCTTAAAGTCTTTGTGTCTAGACTTTTCATCTACAAATTACAAGTAATAACCCCTGAATTTCCCAGTTGTTGGGAGCTTTCTGAGTGAACAGATAACAAGAAAACTTGGTTAAGTGTCAAAGTTTTGCTGTTTGCATCTGACATGTGCAGTAGGTGATATCTTAGCTCACTCTAAGTCCAGAAATGTGTAATAATAATAAATTGATTTGTTATCTGCCTCCTTCCATAAAAAATAGGGATACTTCAAGAGAGAACATAATACCTTTGTCCCTTGGCTTTGAATTTTCCTTGACATGAAACTCTACCAAAAACAACTTATTACTTTCTCCATAAAGCCTCCTCCTCTTCCCATATTTCTATCCTTGTTAATGTTAGAATACACCCAGTTTCCATCCCAGTCTCCCAAACTGAAAACCTTGGAGCTAATCCCTGCCAAGTCTATCCCCTCACCACCACTTTCTCTTCCCTCTCTTCTGTCATTTCCCCTCCCTCGATCCAACTGGCCTTGCAATCTAGCCGATTCTTTTACAGAGTTTTGATTTTCCTTCTACTTGCCATTCCCACAAACTCTGTTCCTGGGTAAGGCCTGAATCACCTTTCACTAAGACAATTGAATCCTCTGTCAGGATAGATGAAAACACAGCTTCTATCCATAGTCACTGCCTATGAACTTGTGTCCAAAGGAAAGGGATACCAACAGCAGCCTACCGATTTGCCATATTTTTCTGGTGGCTTGGGCTTTTGTTCCAAATTCCTATGTTAGAAATTGGGTTGGATGACAGGCCAGCTGGAAGGATTGCTTGTGTCTATGTTCGATGCTCATTTGCCAGGCTCCTTTCTTCTGGGCTAAGCTGAGTTTGCTAATGGACTTCTGTGGTTGGAGTAGGTTGGCAGAGGGTGAAGACAAGGACCAAGTCTTCTTAATCTCACTGGCTATAGGGGAAATGATTTACAGACCAAAGCAGCATTTTAAAGAAGAAGGGGAGGCCAAAGAGCAAGATCCCTTTGAGTATTTCTCAACATGGGGTCAAAAACTCTTTCTCCCTTGGCTCTTTCTCTGGAAAACTCCAGCTCTTGTATCATGGCCCGACAGTGGGATCTTGTCTTAACCCATGATTGGAGCTTGCTCTGCTCCCCAGGAGAAGGGAGAAGGGAGGGGGACTTGGGTTTCTCCCAGAGTAGTATTGTCACATTGTAAGTCATGAAATCATTTTTGGGTGTTACGACCAGCATTTTAAAAAAATAAAATGCAGTGGTATAGAGTAGAAAGGAATAGTGCACAACAGAAGAGAAAGCAGTAGAATAGATTTCACAAGATAAGGGTATGACTTTTTCATAAAATTTCTGTTTTAGTCATATTTAAGGATAATTTTGTGTGTGTGGGTGTGTGTGTGTATGAATGTACTGGTCTCAGGATGAAACATAATGCTTACTGTGTGGGTTATGGTCTAAAATGTTTGGAAGCCACTGCTAGGTTAGAATAGAAACAATCTCTTTGACTCTAGTTTTCCCCCATTGATCCATCCTGTATCCCCCAATTTATCATTTAAATAACCTCCCTACAAACTAACATGATCACACAATCGCTCTGTTTAAGTATCTTCACTACATATAGGCCTAATTCATGAGCACAGCAGTCAAGGTTTCAGTAATCCAGTTCTGACTGTTTTTCCAGTGTCACTTTACCGCTGTATTCCTTTTTGGTATATTTTTAAATATCGTTATTTTTCTGATTAAAACTTTGGATTATTATGGAAGTTACTAAGTATAAAATCAAATCACATAATTTTATAATCCAGAAGTAGAATTATATCTTTGTATATACCTTCTAGTCTTTAGTTAAAAGCATACATATATTTTATTTATACATATATATTTATTTAGAACTCTTCTTTTTTACTTACTGTATATGGAAAAGTTTCTAATGTCATTTAATGTACTTCTAAAATATACTTAATGGATGCATCATATTATACAAATGTTATTGAACATTTAAGTGTTTTCTAATATTTTCTTTTTATAAATAATGCCTTGATACATGTCTTTACGTGTCTCACTGATTTCTTTTGCCCCTCTGAATATTAGACTTGGATTTACTGGGTTAAATTGTATTTATACATTTAAGGACTTTGATATATATTGCTTGATGTCTCATAAAAATTACACATGTCAAAAAAAAAATTACACACATCATATCCCTATTTGTGCCAATACTGAGTATTATCATTTACGAAATGTTTACCAATTTGACAGATGAAACATAATTTGGCATTATTTTCATGTGCATTTTTGAGCGTAAGTGAGATTAGTCTTTTTTCTTTTTCATGTTTATTGGTCATTTACATTGCATTTTGGAGAAAATTGCTTGTCCCTGGCTTTTGTCCTTTTTTTTTTTTTTTTTTTAATTAGGGAGGTTATTTTTGTGTTTTTCTTCCGTATTATAAATCCTGCTTATTCTTCAAAACTTAAAACAAACTCACTTTCTCCATGGAACTGTGTTCTAGTTTCTTAGTTTGGACCTTCGTTTTCCCATAGCATGTTATTTGTACCTCTGTTTAGTGATCAGTTTACTCTGCCATGCTGGTTGCTATCTTCCTCCACTTGGTTACAAAATATTTGGGGGTAGAAACCTTTTCTTATTTGTTTTCCTATCTCTCTAGGAAAAGACACAGATCAGAGATTCAGTATGCTGCTAATGTTCTTTGCCAGGCTAAAGAGCAGAGCCTTCTCTTTTTGATGTGAAATTTGATAGATTATTTTTTCCTGTATGCTTTTAGTCTATCTGAGGCTGTACTCACATGTATTTAGGGACACTCAGTGAGCTCAGAAAGCCTTCTTGGGGTGCTGGGGAGAGGGAAAGCACAGTGCCCCTTTCTGAAGTCGGTTTGGCTGTGATTCGTAGTTCCATTCAAAAGAACTTAATCAGCTTTAGAGCTTTTGCACTCTGGGTGATGTAAATTTTCTCTTTCTGTCTTATTCCCTCAACACCAGGGTCTTCTGCCTTGATACACTTATAAGTCATTTGAGATCACTTAAATTACTTTTGCAAATTGGTCAGAAGTTAGAGTATGTGACTATGGGATTGAAT